TAAATTCTTTCATTACAGAAGGAACGCCGTGCTAACACAGGGAATTAGACAGAACTGGAACATTTGCATTTAGCTATCCCCTTTTTTCAGTTGATGCTCAAAACTAACAATAACAGGAGCCATGTCTGATCAATAGTTGCGTCTTATCATGATTCATGAACCATGTATATTCTATTAATTCTGATTCCTTCTAGATGATAAATGATAGCACTAGGAAGAACAGAAACAAAGGCAGGCTTAATTTTGTACTTGTAAATAGTACCAGTGTCTTACCAAAGCAAACAATCTGTATTCCATGAACATGGGTTCATGCCTAATTAGCTTTAATAAGGATGTACCTGCATTATCACCCTCCTATAGTATACAGATAGTAGAAAATATGAATAGCTAATAATGCGTAAATGGTTGTTTCCGATTTACTAAAAACATTCTTGTAGCGTCCACAATAGGAGCCTCTGGTTCACTTGTTCGCATTGTTGTCATGTGGCCCTTGCCTTCTTGACCATCAACATCAATAGGTTCACGCATCCTGAGGAAGGCCATCACCCAAGCCCTGCAAAATCAAATAAACATATCACCACCGATCGGATGGTGGATGCACGTGTGAACACATCGCCCACATCGGCTCAACCGGCTTGCCTATCCACCCGCAACATGTGACTGCATCTACAATATTTTCTTTTGCCCACGGCTCACCAGTTCGTAGCTCGGCTAGTATCTTCCACAGGTGCTTGGAGCAAAGGTCCTAGTCCGCTTCATAAATTAAAACTTGGAGAAGGTATTTCATGTACGCAGCACCGAAAAAATGACCATGAAGACATTCTTCCTAACTTTTTCTAGTTGGTTCATTCCATACTATTAACAAAACAAAATGATTCCATTACAAAATTTTGAGCAAAGTGAACAGAGCAGAAGACGCCGAAGAGGATACTGGCATGATGTTACTACAAGTCTACAACTGAATAGAGCATATCACCATTATATTTTGTAACACCCTATTACCTATTAACAGACGCCATTGCAAAATTATGAGAAGGATCTACCATACCTGAACATTAGCTTCCTCCCTAATATCTCATTTGCATCATCGCACAATCTTTTTACCTGCAACTGGCTTAATCAGTAGAGAAGAGAACTCATGGATTCCATGAAATATTTGTAGGGGTTGAGTGAAATACCCGGAGGAGCAAATCTGCATGAGTAGATTATTACCTTGGAGGAGGGGATTTGACATCAACTTCCATTGGAGGAGAGGACATCACCAGCGGTCATGACCAGCATATGAGCACAGCCATCGTTGATGGTGCCTGCTGAGGTCGTAAGGGCGGGAACGCCTGCATGACGGGGAGGAATACATTAGCAGCTGGGAAGTCCCCGCCTTGCTCCAGCTCGACTCGTCTTCCCATCCCCCCGTCATCATCCTCTCATCTTTGTCACACCTTCGACCTTCATGGAACAATGGGACAGGGAGGCGCCATGGGGAGGTAGCACATGGAACTGGAGGGAAAAAAGGAGGGACAATGAAGGAGAGGGTTGCGCAAATCATTAGGTGCAGAGCGAGCAAGAGGAGGGAAGGGCGCCGCTGCGTGAGATCCCTTTGGCGGCGGCCGGGGGGGGGGGGGCGGTATCGGGGAAGGGGATGAGGCACTGCCAGAATAGGTTGGAAGCCTGCAATGCCAAAGGGGTGGAGGCCCAGTTAACCACAGACTTCAGTTTTTTCTCCCGGAGTAGCTTCCCTTAAGGACGAGTGGCCCAGTTCGCAAAGTTGAGTTGATCAAACGGCTAGGGATGTCCGAACAGTGAGATCTAAAGGCCAAAATCGCTGATGGCCTGAGAGGGCTGGGAGGGTGCTCAGTTTTAATATATCTAAATGTTCCCTTTTTATCAACCGGACATCCTCTTGCCATTAATTGCTCAACTGAAAGATAACATTAACAAAGTTCTTTTGTTTGAGAGAAACAAAAAAATATATGTTTTCTTGCATTAACTTTGATGCAAGAATAGACTGTGAGGACACTCCTTTGCCACTTTGTAATTCTGCCCGCCCCGTGGTTCTATTCTATGATCCCCTTTCCTGCTGATTCCCGTATTCAAATTTTTGTAGTATTGAACCTCGCTATTATTACTGGCTGTAACACCTAGAGAGGAAGTTTTGTGTGACAAAAAACTTAGGTCGCCTGGAGAACAGAGCTCCATGTTTTGTATTGCAATAGGCCAATCCTCCCTCTATCTAGTTGACTGTACAATGCATCCAAATGGAATCGCGCTTGGGAGAAGATGCGACCAGATCCGGTTTGGCCGCCAATTGAGTCTGAGTCTCTCACTGACTTACTAGATTAACTAACCCCTAGATCTATCGTGCATCGAGTTAAAACTCAGAAGAAGCCTACTAATTCAACGGTTAGGCCCGTCCCAATGTTCCACTGTGGACAGATGCTAAGCATGTTACATACGGCTACTCATAGTGGAAAATATCATATAATATTATCATGCATATGATACTAGTGTACGATACTATCTTCATAGTGCATAGTATCATAGATGATTTTATTTATGACCATGCATTACACAAAGTATCTACCTATGTAAGTCTAACCCTCTCTCTTCTTTAATTCTCTGCCATATCAGCTAAGGATGACAATTTTACCCACGGGTACTGTGCCCGCATGGGCAAGGTATGGGCACATTTTTGTACTCATGGGTAGTACCCATATCTTACTCATTAAATCATGGGTAGCGTACGTGTATAGCCTTGTACCCGCGGGTATAACCATATCCTGCCCGTTTGGGAACTAATGTTAAGTTGTCATCAATTAGCCATTAATTTGTCATGTGACTCGTCTACTCCTATTGACTTAAAAGTATATTGTGATTTTTATATTTTGATATTGGTAATCTACTCACTACCTGTTATTGAGTTGAGATAATTGATTTTTTGGTCAAATATGCTATCAATGAGTGCAAAATTGTGAACAACTTGTGTACTATTTGTTCTACCCGCTGGGTACCCAATGGGTATGGGTACCTGTCAGGTATGAGTGTCGGTAAAGTTTTATACCCATGAGTACGGGTATGAGTAGAATTTTGTACCCACTGACTATACAGGTATGGGTATGGTATTGCTCTACCCTGTCCATAACCTATCCACAGGACCGGCCCTAATGGGGGGAAGGGGGGCGGGCCGCCCCAGGCCCCCGAAATAGAGGGGCCCCCACGTACGTGTGCTCTCTGTACCAGGCCCATGAGAAAAAAAAACTGATTCTAGGCTAATTTTGATGCAACAGACCATGCAGCGTACAACGAACATTACCTGTGGGAAAGTAAATTAGCGATTCGCTAGATTGGTGAAACTTCCATTTCCCTCGCGTAGGTCTGCGCATGACGACACGAGCGATCGACCTAGCGACATATCACACACGACTCATCATATCTCAGAAGCCCTAGGGCAACCCCGCCGCCGACACATCCTCCTCCCGCGAAGGCCTCCCCCGTTGATTTCTCCTCCAATGATGGATCAGGTAATTCATGTTCATCGCCATGGACAGGAGTAACAACACCATCGGCCCTGGCAGGCAATTTTGAACTACAAAGATCAGGTTAGCATCTTCCTGATGCATCAACCAACGGAGCTAGCTAGATTGATGTGTGACTAGTTAGTGGCAGAATTATTAGATCTAGTGAATTAGCGGAGAAGAGTAGGACGTAGTTGTCCTTCTGACTAACTTTTTTAGGGCAATCCTTCTGACTAACTAATCTGGTTGTGTTGGAGATCAGTGAAAGACGAGGGGAGAGGATGTCTAGAATCCATGGAATGATGATGATAGCCAAGCTGAAATTAATTGGAGGATTCGATTCAATATGATAAGGTGGCGACATTAATTATTAGTGTTGCAAATTATAGTTATTCTACCCGCGTGCCACCAGGAGTAGTTCAAATTACTTTCTGTTTGCCAAACTATGAAATATGGTACAATGCATGGAACTTCCCTGTCAAAATCATAGAAAAGTGAGAAATAATTAATATAATAATATATAATTAGATTTTGGAACTAGGTCGACCAGCTGGTTTTGCCCTCGATGATAAAAAAATTAAGAACATTTTGTGTTTAAAATTTACCTAAACATGCACATATTAATTTGAATTTTGTATATATAAAGGGCCCCCGACTATATTTCCGCCGCGGGCCCCTGAAATTTCAGGACTGGCCCTGCCTATCCATTGCCATCCATCAGCATGTTTGCTATTCTCGAGTGCATGATACTGGCTAAGATACCCCCACTATGGTCAGCCTAAGCGAAAAAATAACATGGCACAACAATTAAGAAGAGATAGCACTTTGGTAATCCCAGAAAGAATCAATACCAAGCACGTAAACCTAGGCAAACCATTTAAATGAAAGAAGCTGGCCAATGTATGACCGAGTTTAAGTGCTAAATCATTAAATAAAGTAAGTTTAGCAACAACAAGCTAAGGCTTGTCGTAATGGTAGTATCATAGTTAGTGTGATGCACGCCAAATTTTAATGAGGTGTCATAGAATTAAATGAAGAAAGAGAGGATTGAGTATCATATATATCATGATATCGTATCATAATAAATGCTATGCTAGTACGTATGTGTCATGCATGGCAATAATTCAAGTACTACATGATACAAATATATGATTTTATGCATTAGGGAGGCAGTATCATATGCATATGATACTTCTCATTACAACCAGTTTAAGCACCTATGCATTGGGGAGTGATTTGCTAAGTTATTTAATACATTTAACACTTCATGTAAGCACCTTTACATTGAAGCAGGCACGTGACCATATCAAAGGGTAGAATACACTTCCCTCTACATGAAGCATGCAGTGGTAAAGCGCCACGCCTTCGCCTCCGTGTTCATCGAGATCTGTCCACCGGACGGTGCTATATAGAGACCGGCGTGTCACAAGCTTCACAAGACAACAGTACACAGCACAGCTAGCAAATATTTGCCCTCTAGCGGTGACCATGGAGAGAAGCGTCGCCCACATCATGTTGGTGCTTTCACTCGGGGCGGCCCTCGTCGTCGCCGGCCGCCCCGCCGGTGCCTCCGACGAGGTGGCCGCCATTCGCCTCTCGAGCGACGGCCAAGGTGAGGCCCTCGGGCATGCCACTGTCAGATCGATATACGACCGAGTATGAGATTATAACTTAGACAGTTCGTACATACATACCCTCCATTGATATGATCTCTTGACCATGTGGTACACAGGTCTTGGCGCTGATGCAACAGCACTTGGGGCGCCCATGAAGAAGGTCCTGGAGGAGGATGAGAGGCCGTGGGCATGCTGCGACGACACCCACTGCCTGAGGGTGCTCCCGAGGGCCTGCCTCTGTCGCGACACGGTGGCGCAGTGCGCCAGCGCGTCCCAGCACTGCGACGAGGTCAGCCCTGGCCGCTACGTTTGCCTGGATATACACGAAGGCTGGCCCGGCCCAAAGTGCATGCACCAAGTGGACGTCGCCGGCGCCGGTAACTAGCTACCATAGCTAGCTAGCATGGCACGTACGCGTACGTTTCGGCGTGCCCTCTCTGTTGGCTTATTGCTCCATGATCCACACAGTAGTCCCAGTGCCTATTTATGTACTAGTTCAACCTCAATCACTTATCATGTGTAACAATAAAAATAAGTGTATGTACCGTGCTGATGGATCACAACTACCAAAGTGCGAAATACACACACACTCACACTAACCCTATAAATGCATGCACACACCTTAACCCTATGAGAACATCCGATAGACTGAGCCAGCAGATCATGACATTATTGAAGACGCCACATAGTTGACCAGCATGCGACAGCCAAAAGAGTAACAGTAGAAACCTGAACTAAATCCATCAAAATGCGACCACTCATGCTAAGCCTATGACTTTAACCGGGATGGTCAGGTTTCGCCAAAAGAAACCTAGCCATCTGAACTATGCTCACTTCACACACGTACTTACCTATACACACGATTGTGCCTTGATTCTTGCGCTTCTCCGAGGATCCGGCCTTCGTCGACATTGGCGCCCTAGGACGAAGAGGTTCGGGGAGGCAGGAGCACCAGCACCAGAGATGCATTCGTGCTTGTGGGCATATTTAGAGGGAACCTAGGATCCGGCCTTCGTCGACATTGGCGCACTAGGACGAAGAGGTTAGGGGAGGCAGGAGCCCCAGCACCAGAGATGCATTCGTGCTTGTGGGCATATTTAGAGGGAAGTCTTGGGGTTGACACAAGGAGGAGGACGGTGGCATACCCTGTCTTTTGGCCTTAGGTTTTCTCTCATGACATGTTCCTATTCTCAACCATGGAGGTCACCGGCGCAACTTGCCAGTGAAGGTCGTCATTGCGTTGGCGGTACAAAAAGAAGGCGGCTATCAACGGCAGGGAATCTAGGAGTGGTGGTTTGTGACATTGGATCTAGTGAAATATCTTTTGTGTCCTGACAAGCAGCTCTATGGTCATCCTGTGGCGGCCGAACAATCTAGACCAGGAGGATTACCGTGATAGATAGAATATGGGGAGGTGAGGTGGGATTTTGCATGCAGGGGTATGTTCAATGATCTATATGACAATTTTAGTTTACATTTCATGCATATAAAACATGTTATGCAATGAATCCAATATATTTTCATGCTCCTTCATAATAGTTGATTAAAATGGAACTGAAATATGTGTCACTATGAAACGGCATCATCTACAACATAAAAAAAAAACTGTTATCTTCCTTACCAAGAGATCATTTCTTAGTTAACAAACATAAAACAATCTATTTATTTATTTCTTGCTCTTTTAACTCGGTAATCATCCTAGGTATCGTTGTACTACATGCATGCCCTAAGAGGGAGAATGTCGGTAGAAGCATGTAATAGTTGTAGTTAGAATTATGTATTTCATTTTATGTATAAAACACAAAATAGTAGTATATAACTGTTTTTTTGGCGAATACACAACGCTTGTGTATCATTTCATTGCCAAAAGGAATAGAATGAGTACAGCGGGGGTAAAACACACTACACGAACGCATGTAGGCGTGAACATGGTGCCCGAAGCAAAAAGACAAGGGATGCTCGGCCCGAACAAAGAAACAACGCAGGTAGAACCCACCCAACCCAGACCAAGAGCGACAATGTCGAACCAACAATAAGCCTTAACCGCCAAGCCCACAACGGGGACACTGCGAGCAAGCAAGATGGCGCCTTCAAGAAGGAAGACGAAGCCGATACGTCTTCGCCATCCGGTCTGGAGCAGCCGAACCTAGGGTTTCCCCGAGCTCGAATAAGGGCGTAGCTGGAGGCCATCGCAGCGCCTTCAAGAAGGAAATACGACACCCGCAGGCGCCGCCGCTGCCAGCATCGGCAAGAAGAGCAGAGATTTCTCTCCAGCCTGAAGTTAAGCAATCCCATAGCCGATGGGTATGGAATCTTGGATGAAGAAGCCAACGCCGACCAAAATCACCAGGATGGAAGGGGGGTAGGTAGGGCTGCACCTGCCATCGGAGGGTGGCACCGCCTCCTCGCCAACGAGGATCAGATCTGGCGAAAAGGAGGAGGCTTTAAGGCATACAAGGTAGGTTCAGCGACGAAGCAAAGACCACCTCGAGGGGAGACATGCAAGCTCAGATTGGAGAGACGTAGATCTGAGCTTCTGTGGCCGTAGCCGTCGGGACATCGGTGAGCCAAGCGAGCTGGAAGGGACGCTGCCACTAGTCGTCAAGGCCGTAGCCCGCCCGACGGGGAACGCCGGCAAGCCTCGGATGCCGAAAATGTGGGTACGAGGCCGCCGGGGCCGGAGCAGCGCCGGCAGGGCCCGTCGCGGGGTGCCCCGCGCCTACTACTACCATTGAAGACTTGCCACCGCCGCACAAGAGCCAGCACCTTAACTCGACGAGGAAGTGTCGTCGGAGGAGGGGCAGGGGCACCTGCACGAGGCAGGCCATGCACATCCCGCAACCCAACGCAAGTCCCAGGCCCAGGGATGGGTGCCCATGGCCGCGGCCAAGGCACGACGCATCCCTCGCTAGACTGGTTGGG